GTATTGGGTACATAACTGGGTCGTATGGGGTAGTATCACTATGGAGTCGTATGGGGTAGTATGGGGTAGGGTACGTAGTATTGGGTAGTATTGGGTAGGGTACGTAGTATTGGGTAGTATGGGGTAGGGTAGTATGGGGTCATAGTCACGGCATTCGGTGATGTTTTCTGCACCAAATCGCATATTTTCCGACAAAATATGGCAGATAGAAGTAAAAGAACTTCTTTAAGTATGATAATTCACAGTGTTAAAAGTAGTATTGGGTAGTATGAGGTAGTATTGGGTAGTATAGGGTAGTGTGGGGTAGTATTGGGTAGTATGGGGTAGTATTGGGTAGGGTACGTGGTATTGGGTAGTATGGGGTAGTGTGGGGTAGTATTGGGAAGTATAGGGTAGTGTGGGGTAGGATTGGGTAGTATAGGGTAGTGTGGGGTAGTATTGGATAGTATAGGGTAGTGTGGGGTAGCATTGGGTAGTATGGGGGATTATTGGGTAGTATGGGGTAGCATTGGGTAGTATGGGGGATTATTGGGTAGGATGGGGTAGTATTGGGTAGTATGGGGTAGTGTGGGGTAGTATTGGGGAGGATGGGGTAGTATTGGGAAGTATAGGGTAGTGTGGGGTAGTATTGGGAAGTATAGGGTAGTGTGGGGTAGCATTGGGTAGTATGGGGGATTATTGGGTAGTATGGGGTAGGGTAGTATGGGGTCATAGTCACGGCATTCGGTGATGTTTTCTGCACCAAATCGCATATTTTACGACAAAATATGGCAGATAGAAGTAAAAGAACTTATTTAAGTATGATAATTCACAGTGTTAAAAGTAGTATTGGTGAGTATGAGGTAGTATTGGGTAGTATAGGGTAGGGTGGGGTAGTATTGGGTAGTATAGGGTAGTGTGGGGTAGTATTGGGTACATAACTGAGTCGTATGGGGTAGCATTGGGTAGTATGGGGTATTATTGGGTAGTATGGGGTAGTATTGGGTAGTATGGGGTAGTATTGGGTAGTATAGGGTAGTATGGGGTAGTATTGGGTATTTAGACGCGCCGTAAGTACTGTATTGTATAAAATTCATGTGTAACTGTCGGTATTTTGCTGTTCATTTAAATTGTCGACCTCACATAAGGAAGATACAATGTCGTCAATTTGTCATTATATGTACCATCATATTTAAAATATGCCAACCATTTTATTGCCATTCAAAAACAGCAGAAACCATGTAGACATTTTTCGCTGATACATTTCCGTATTTTTGGACCGTCGCGGTACCACAGTATATAACTTTGCAATATAAACAATCCGGCACAGAAACTGGTCACGAAGTAGTGCTGTTCAACGTAATACGTTTTCACTGTAGGGCAAAGAAAACGATTGCTAACTGACTTTCCATCTTAATTAAAGAAAAAACAGTTTTGATCAACAACATTGAGAGTATTTCTGTTTTAATTTCCCTCAAACCCGTCATTATTCGACAAATTTCTCATCAGTGCATGCACAATGCTACCAGACTGTGTTCTACTCTATATTAAGAGTCGTCAGTTTGGTTTCAATTAAACTCATTGTCCGAAAATTCTGGCAAATTTTATATGTCTGGATACCATCTACATGATGTTATCTTCAGAATAATCTGATTCCTCAATACTTAAAAATAAAATATTAATTCGCAATCTGACACTATGGCCATAGCTGTTCTCGATGTCATTAAGACTCACAGGGCAAGTTCGAAGCTGACGTGGAACATTTCTGTGTCTGCTCGATTGGATAAGAAGACAATGTGAAGATAAACCCAAACTCGAGTTACCATACCACCCTCTATATTCCAACACATCATATTAATCGCATCAACTATCAATGATTTGGTTGAAAAATACTTGTTTTGGAACCAATTCTCGCATACCGATTCCACTTGCCCAGAAATCATTAGCCGACTTTAAAGTGTGTCACGCGCACACTTGCTTTGTGTAGAAAATCCCTCATTGCAGACTCTGACGCAATTCTCAGGATGTGACAACCTGTGTTTGGCTATGATTACCTGTGTTTGGATGCCACTACTTGTGTTTTGCTATGATTACCTGTGTCAGGATGTGACCACCTGTGTTTGGCTATGATTACCTGTGTTATGATGCTACTACTTGTGTTTTGCTATGATTACCTGTGTCAGGATGTGACCACCTGTGTTTGGCTATGATTACCTGTGTCAGAATTTGACCACCTGTGTTTGGCTATGATTACCTGTGTTATGATGTGACTTCTTGTGTTTGGCTATGATTACCTGTGTTATGATGTGACTTCTTGTGTTTGGCTATGATTACCTGTGTTAAGATGTGACTACATGTGTTTGGCTATGATTACCAGTGTTAGGACGTGACCACCTGTGTTTGGCTATGATTACCTGGGTCAGAATGTTACTACATGTGTTTGGCTATGATTACCCGTGTCAGGATGTGACCACCTGTGTTTCGCTATGATTACCTGTGTCAGGATGTGACTTCTTGTGTTTTGCTATGATTACATATGTTAGGATGCGACTCCTTGTGTTTTGCTATGATTACCTATGTTATGATGCGACTACTTGTGTTTTGCTATGATTACCTGTGTCAGAATGTGACTACTTGTGTTTTGCTATGATTACCTATGTTAGGATGTGACTACTTGTGTTTGGCTATGATTACTTGTGTCAGGATGTGACCACCTGTGTTTCGCTATGATTACCTGTGTCAGGATGTGACTACATGTGTTTGGCTATGATTACCTGTGTCAGGATGTGACCACCTGTGTTTCGCTATGATTACCTGTGTCAGGATGTGACTACTTCTGTTCCCGTTGTAGCCGACTTTATTTTGTCTCTGTTCCAGGGCAAAGGTCTGTCTCCGGGAACTATTGCAGGCTATCGTTCAGCCATTGCTAGTGTGCTGGCTTTCTATGGTAGCAAGTCTTAAGGGCTCGGATGCTTCATTGTCTGCTCTCATAAGGGGCTTCTACATTGAGAAGCCTCGTTCACGACAATTGGTCCCTAGGTGGAATTTAGCACTTGTGCTAGATTCCTTGTTGAGGGCACCATTCGGGCCCCTCCAGTCGACGGATCGGAAGTTTCTTACTTTCAAGACTGTGTTCTTGATAGCCTTCGCTTCCGGTCGCCACAGAAGCGAGATTCATGCTTTCAGCAGATCTCTTTCTTGCCTTCGTTTTTCGGCTGGCCATTCTTCGGTCTCAGTGACCACTGATCCCACCTTTTTAGCTAAGAACCAGGTTCCTGGTTTCACCCCAGGGCTTGTGGTAATCCCTTCTTTGGCTTCAACTCTGGACGGGGATTGTCCTGATCGCCTGCTCTGCCCAGTTCGTGCCTTGCGTTACTTCTTGGCCAGAACAGAGGACAGAGGGGGGGGGGGGGGACACTCTTCTCACGATGGATTGTTCAGACTGTTTGAGCTGCGTATGAGTCGGCAGGGAATCAGTCCTTGCGGGTGTCAGGGGTTAGGGCTCATGAGGTTCATTTAATGGTTCTTCTTACGCCGAGGTCATGACAGCTGCTGTTTAGAGGGGTCATTCTACGTTTACGGAGTTCTATCGCCGATCTTTGTCGGGACAGTCTGACGGGTTGTATTCTTTGGGTTAGGATGTTACTACTTGTGTTTGGCTATATGATCACCCGTGTTAGGATGTGCCTAGCTACCTCTTGTCAGAATATGAATGGTTTGGTAAGGATGTGACTCCCTGTCAGAAAAAGTATTGCCGGGGATCCATCAGAATGTTTAAGCCAATTTCCACTAAAAGATTGATTCTTGGCCTTTTATTTTTACTCAGAAACCTATATCTGATTGTAGTGTTCTTAAGTAGATTCCAGGTTGACTAAAGGAGTAATAATAGCTTAAACATTTAAAAGAGCTTAGCGAGAATCTGCCATAGGATTCTGCGTAAAGAGTCTGCCTTAAAGACCGCCAATCCAAAATACCACCTAAGAGGTTCCTTAGACTGTCTTAAGGCAGATTCAGATTTTCTGTGACCAAAAGCCGTGTCAGAATGTAACTAGAAATTTCAAGATAATAAAATCAAGCTATTTCAGTGAATCATGTAATATTATTGCATTTGTACATGTGTGACTATCTGTAGTCCTACACTTGTTGAAATTTCCGCAGAACAAATGAATCACTTAACCTCATTAGTACTTTGACTAGTTAAAATGATATTATTGAGGACCTGCATCAAAATCCTTTGCCCTATAGTAATTCCATCCATGACTTCATTTCCTTCAAGTTATGTCTGTTTTCAATAAAACTTTCCGAAGATTATGGTTTACACCTGAAGTTGTTTAACTTGTTTTTGTTTCAGTCCTTTTGCTGGAGAGTTATGCTCCTTTATGTGAAAATATTATCAGGACAACTGCGTGTAAACGTAAATTTTAGTGAAATGTTGTGTAAATGACCAGTATCCTATTTTGTTTATGTACCATTTTTTATTTGAAACCTGTTTTATACACCCGTCATCGTATTGTGATATGGCATTAGCTTGTCCGTTAGTATTTTTGCCCAGACTATAATTTAAAAAAAATCAATTGATGCACAATCATGAAACCTCAGAAGTAGGTACAACTTGAGATGGCAGTGTGTCGCATACTAAAACTAAATCACAGTCACCTACTTTTAATGGTTCACTTCACATCAAAGAAAATAGCTGACCAGCCTCACAGTCTATCTTCTTGCAGGACCATCAAATGTTGGATGGTGGTATGTCACGTACAATTACTAGATCACAGTATTTAGTAACCTACTTTTCATGGTTTACTGCACATTAATTTTTAAAGAAAAATCCCTTATCCCGGGTATATCATGCCTATCTGGCTATAAGGTAAATTCTTGATGGAGATTAAGCTTTTGTGGTAACTTCTTTGTGGTTATAACTGATGCATTGGTACAGCGATTACCTTAAGTACCGTAGGTGATTTAAAATTGAATACATTGAGTAATGATGTGGACATTTAAAAAAAGACACAAGACTTCTATAATATATAACGGTTTATTACAGCATATCTAGCTGTTACTACCCTAGGACGTGGTAGGTAACCCCTAGCAGAGCTAAGTGGCTGTGTACACACGACACAACACAAACACATCCACATGTCGTACATCAGGTCAATAGAACTCAGGGAAATAAGAACAACCATTCACCCACATTATTCCGGTTAACACTACATGTAAATCAAATATATAACGTCATAAGTTCATTATAAAAAGGGATAAAAATATTGTCAGACGTATTGCATAACAGGTGATTTCCACTGACTGCTGGCTATGCTGTCCTTAATGAAGCACTTTCCTCACAGATGGTTAATATCATTATCACGGAAAATCTATATCCACCTCATACAAGAAGAATTACTGTAAAAAGTGGTTCATATCAAAATTACATACAATGTATTGCCATAGCTATATGTTATGCTCAGTAGGAGAATCCATGGTCAAGCTTTGAGATTTTATGTTTAGACATTGTAATAATGTCAAATTGATATGATTATGTGTTCATATTGACCTCAATGTATCTCAACATCTGGTGGTGTTCAACTGGCAACATGGTAGGGCCAGTCACATTTAAATGGTGGTACTTAACTGGCAACATGGTAGGGCCAGTCTCATTTAAATGGTGGTACTTAACTGGCAACATGGTAGGGCCAGTCATATTTAAATGGTGGTACTTAACTGGCAACATGGTAGGGCCAGTCACATTTAAATGGTGGTACTTAACAACCGAACATTCACATTGCAGATACCGTAGATTACTGCAAATATTTTGGGCAAACTTAATTTCAGGTGGTGAACTTTCGGTACTTATTTGCTTCTGGTTTTATTATAAAAATTATACAAAACTAAGCAAAGAATGCAAAAAGAAAAAAAATTTTATAGCTGAAAAATATTAAATCTATTTTGATCAGATTGGATGTTCAAACGTAAAAATAATGAGAAAACATGACCGTTTTGAGTTGAAATACGATGTTACATGTATGTTGTGTGCATGTTTATGGTACCCACAGATAAGCTAAACATTCTAAAAACACTTCAAGATAAACACAAAAAATACATGAATACTTTATCTTGCTGAAAAGTTTTGTTTTTGTTGAGAAAAAAGGTAAGCGTTTGCACCGAGACTAAGTCACAATTTTCTGATTGTAAATATATTTAGCACATTTGAAGCAAACATGACTAGAAGGAAGCTATAGGTGCTGTGTTAGTCTTAGAGCTATGTTGTTAATTAATAAACTTTTATTTCAGAATGAAAATATTTTAAATACCGTACTGAAACATTTTTTGTACAGATAAATAAAATACAATAACATAGGGGCAAGGTACATTTTTACAACCAAATATAACACTAAATCTTGTATTTACTCTGTCTTGTGATGTGGACAACAAGATTCCTCCATACACTGCAAAATGAAAATAGATGGAAATTGAACTGAAAGTGATCCCTGCATGTGTTGGAATCTGCTTCTGTTTGTGACTAGCTGAACACATTGTAGTAAATTTTGACTAATATTCTGATATAAAAACACTAATACTGAGGAGTGCAATGCAGCATTGTGACATAACATTGCAAAAATATAGTTTTTGAAATTTATGTCTAGATTTAAACTAATAGTGACAACTGGACGTTTAAGTATTGGAATCTGCTTCGATTAGTGACTAGGTGTACATGCTGCGGTAGCTAAATTGTGACTTGTATTCTAACAAAAAATGTTAATGCTGAGAATGGAAATAAAGCAAAATATGGAATGAAAATACAAAATATTCAACACAATCATTTATGGGTATATCAAAACTACAAATTCTTCTGAAAATACAAATTACTAAAATAGGGCTGTTCAAATGTAGGGAAAACTATATACAACATGAATAATCATGTCTTGAGAAAAATGTCATCTTTATTCTCGTTGATAAAATTGGAAAATGTGAGAAAATTCTGCCATTGTCGAAGAGTTGACTTATCATATTACTGATAATGACTTAATATAGCCAGATTTTCTGATATGATCATTTTCATAACTGCAATTAAAGCAATACATATGAAAGGCTTTTCTTCCTCCAGAATAAAAGTAATTTTCAAAATGTTTTCAGATTCATTCATACATTTGTCATTATCTTTCCCGTTTTGAGAAAAGTAAGAATTTTTGGCATCTGTTTCTAAATATATTTCTTTTCAAATACATTTTTCAAAATTACCTTTTTAATACATAATGTACATCTTTTATAGGCAGAATAGTTGAGATGGCGAATGCAGTAGAAGATGGTGAAACCTCTTATGAACAATTTATGTATTTTTATTTTCCGATATCTTTTTACAGGTGTACCTACATATATTGAAGCTTTCAGTTTTTCCCTGTACAAATAAACAGACTCAAAATATTATTTATCTGAATGTTTTTGCATTGCGACAACTGTCAACGAAAAATTTGAAAAAAACAACAACAGGGAATTTCATTTCACCTTGAAAAGGAATTATTTCAAATTAATGTGTCAGTCAGAAAGTATAGAAGGTTTTACTTATGACGAAAATATAACAATGCTATTTAAAATGCTTCTAAGCAAAAAGGCACGAGAGCTATTACTTGGTACTATAGATACTAGTATGAGATAGGAGCCCGGACGAAATGCTTATAAACTATACTTCTGTCTGGACAGGGCACTACTGATACCTCTTCTCTTGGAAATATTTGGCACCATAGGGACCAATTTGATGTTCATTATACATATCTAACCACATTGGAAAAATAACTCTTTAAAAGAAAGATAACTCCTGCCTTGTGTTTGATATTTGCTTTAAAAATGTACTTTTTAACAACATTTTTTAAGCAATTGCTCTAAATTTAAACATGTTCTAAATATGTACGAACCCTGTACAAGGACAGTTAAACCAAGCACCATGGATAGTTCATGAAGACAGAACGAGTTGTAGGACTTAAAACGATATAAATCTACCATCCACAGGAGCCATACCGGGTAATGTAGACAGAATTTAAGTAATTAAGACTCATTTCTATATTCAACTGACCAAACATCTTCTCCTTCACTTAATTTGTTTACACCATGTTCCCACTCTTTGGCAGCTATTTTAGGTGCTGTTGAAGTAAAACATCATGTGCTTAGACAGAATATAGGCTTCTCTTCCCCATGTCAAGATTAATCTCATCCCAATCAGTGTCAGTGTTTAAATTGGCTTCAAAATTATTATAAAACTTTCAACGACAACAGCACCTGAACAAATTCTTCATATTTAGTCCTTGTTTTCTTGCTATGTGTGTGGTATGTGACGGACCTTGTACTATCCCAAAGCTAACTTTGCCGTCCTGTGACTTACTCAACATTACCAAAAACTGTTCCTATTACCCTCTTTCTCCCCCTGTATCTCCATGATGACTACATTAATTGATGGCTAAAAGGGAGGTAACTATTGTATGAAATTAAATTCTTTATTTTAGTCAGTGGCATCCCATTTGTCGCAGGATTATGGTTTAAAAAATCTGTATTGGACAAGGTAACAACATTGTATGGAAGGTTATTTCACAAAACAAGCTATCAGCATGCCCAGAAGGATAAAAAATAACATCAGTTTTTTTCTAAAAAAGTTCTGTCTTAGCTTAGACATTACTAATATTAATGACTATATTCCAATGAAAATTTTATGAAAAAGCTGTGTGCATTTGAAACAGCTTTCAATATATATTGTATCAGCATTCTGTTAGTACTTTATCTAGAAAATAAATTTTAGCTTATAATATAGTTGTTAGAAAAAATAACATTTTCTGAAGCTCTATTTATTTATTTTTTATATTGATGACATTTTTTCTTTAAAAGGAAATGACAAGCTTACTTGTTAATATGCAGAGTTAACGAAGCCAATTCTTACAGTTGATGAATTTAGAATGCAACGAGTTTTAACAGACATTAAGCCACTTGGGGATTTACCGTTACAGCTAAATGTAATCCCCTATTTCAGTACAGATTATGTATGTTTACCCTGAAGTGAACCAATCGTTGTGGTCATTTTGTCATTACAAACAATTCATGACATTTTATTAAAGAAACAAATGGCAGTCAAAATCGTACAGTGGTTACAAAGTGAATCATTTTGATTCCACACATAACTCTAACTCCAGGTTCTAAAACTGCATAGTGCTGTGTTTAAAAATGTCATTTTCAACAGTCACATATTCCTCTACAACCTAGGTCTATCCCAACATCAAAGACACACACATTTGAAACTGTTCATATCGTACCACCGAAAATCCACCATGTTCAACCGTCACAATTGTACCGGTAGTAATGGATGTACTTGGATCTTATTTCTCGATCTCCCGGTATTTGATACACAAATATGTAAAGTTAAAATCCATGATGTACCGGTATGTGTTTTTATCTTTCAAAATGACATTTTTGTTTATCAGATATGCCCCCGTTTGAAATATCAATGGTTTGGTTGATCCAGGGTCTCTTTCAAGCCTTAGATGTATCACACAAAAGAAGAAAACCACTGTAAATTGAAAATGTTTTGTGGAAAAACTGTTCTTTTACTTTAGATTGGTTCATTGGTTCAAAACTGCATCATTTGGAATGAGAAGTAAAAAAGAAATCTGGCGCAAAAAACATCAAATATCTTCCTTAAGGTCTGTCCTGTTTATCAAATGAAAACGTTTTTATTTTTACAAAACCGTTGTTTTGTACACTATTATATACCATCACCTGCCATTGGTAAGCCAATTTTCTATCAATAAACACAATTGGATAATTCCAAGCCTCTTCATCAGTCCTTTAACACCCATGTTCTTGAGGCAGTGAACATATCCCTCTAAAGGTATAACTAAGTGCCTTGCAATCACCATGGTAACACCAGTGTAAATTAGAGAGGCCTGTGGTCTGGTTACAGTGTCACCTCTCTGGCAACACTGGCCAACAAAGGGAGGTCACTTTGTGACTAAAACATCCAGAGAGCCTAGTCATCTTCAGAATACGTGACTGGAGGGCCGAGTTCAGTTCTTGGGTGGGCTGCAGGACAGTGGGCTGGACTTGGGGCTGACGCTGAGTTTGGAGGGGGATGATGAGTAGATTCCCGTTGGACGGTCACACTCCTCCATCGACATGCTTCGCTGCTTGGTCAGATATTGTTCCGTGCTAGAGCTGCGACGAACTCGAGGCATTGGAACACCGCCCACTGTACAAAGACAAACAAGCTGAATAACACTTGTTTTCTGTATATTGGAACTTGTGAAGTTGATCAATAAACCCCAAGAAAATATTTTAAAACTTATGAATTTTGATATATTATATTATATGTTAAAATATTTCAAAAGTTATCTCCCATCCCATTTTTAAAATTTCCTTTCAAGCCAACTAATTATATAATCGGCTTCCAAGGAAGTGGTACTTACTGACGCCAAGGCCTTGAGCGAAATAGATGAAAGACTCTGCCAGTTTCTCTGGCTGAAATGGAAAACAACAAATTTTAGTAAACCATAAATATCATTTGAACTTATAAATTAATATTTATGACTAACAACAGGACACAATATATAGAGTATAATAAGCTCAATTACACACTAAGGATATCTCCAGCGAGATTTGAAGTTTTTATCTTCAATCTTATAACATTGATCACCAGTATTTCCCGATTCGTGATTATCCTGGCATTATTGATGGATGCTTTATTGGTCACATTGAAAATGTTTTTTAGTCATTCCAAACATGTATTTTTTAGGGTTATCTAATTTTAGGACTCATTATTTTAAGGAGACACATTTTATGGGTAATGCATTACGTATTTTTCATTAACATTTTGCTGTGTCGTAAAAGTTTACATGGAGAATATTTTGTGCTTTGAAATTGAGATAATGCAAACATATATATCCTTATCTTAACTCAATCACCCCTAAAATTTCATCATGAACTATTCCAACCATCGAACTGGAAGAGTTTAAATGTGGCTTCAGGCGTAAATGAGTTACAGGTCAATTCTCATAAGCATGTTTCAATCCTAACCTACTTTTTTGTAGGAAGAAAAATTCCGGAGTAGCGGTTCCCTGTTATCAGGATCTACAGTGAAACCTGGCTTCACTGACGCCAAGTGTTACTGGATCATCATGTCAGATATGACAGTGTGTCAGTGAAGTAAGGTTTCACTATGCTTGGTAAATATTTTCAAACTCATGATGCATGAGTATAGATGTACCATCAGCACCCCTTATTTTACGAAACAATCTGGAGACAGATAAGGCCGATCAATTACCCTTTCTTCAATCACGTTGGCCACTCCATCAAACTCGAGCAAGTCCACCTGATTCTTGGCTAGCTGATGGGTCATGTGACCAAAGAGGGTATGAACGGTGTGGTTAAATGACGCTTTGGTGCCTGTCACTGTCAGTACTCGGCACCTACAGCACAGTAACATGTCAACATCAGGCAAAAACAAAACAGATGCAAACAACATTTGTCAACAACAGACGCACACAACAGAAATAAGATCAACTGGTACTTTGCAGGAAGAACAACAATGACATCAACATACAACAATAGATTTCTGATTAAAAAGTGCTATAGATCCTGCACTGTCAGTGTTTCGCAACTGTAATCAAAATATAAATATCTTGATCTGTTACCTAGAAGTATCTGTTTAATTTCTTCATCAATACCTATGTCAGTCACAATGGGTAAGTAGGATGGGGAAGGGCACAGAGAGGCATTTTGTTTTTGACTAAATACTCTGTGCCTCCATTTCATTTCCCATTTTTTAACTATCGCTTTGAACAAAATGTAAAACGGGACGGGATGGGGACAGCTCATATGCTTGGACATTTTCAGCTAAATACACTAACACAAAATTTGGTGTTCAGCTTTCCTGGTGGTACAATTTCCATTTTGTCTTCAGAGAGCTTCTAATGTCTAGATTTCTTCAGATATTTTGAAAGTCAGTTATATCTAAGGGAAACAACTCTTCCTTTGGAAAGCTTACTAGCCTACAAACTTACTTGAGTGATGACAGGTGATCAGCAATGTTGGAACGTCTGTAAGAGAAAACAGTCAAAAGTGTCAACAATGTGAGCTAATATTAAGTATGTAGTGAAATATATTTATAACAATATACACTGGAAGCAAGTCTTGTGTAGTTCACCTGTTCCTGGGCAGAACAAATATGATTGACTGCCTGGTAGGTGGAGCTTTATCACAATTGGAGAAAATTGCAAAGTAGCGTTCTAACATATAGCATCACTACTAACAGGCTCTGTTGAACTCTACTGTTGACAGAATAAGACTACTACTTACATATAGCATCACTACTAACAGGCTCTGTTGAACTCTACTGTTGACAGAATAAGACTACTACTAACATATAGCATCACTACTAACAGGCTCTGTTGAACTCTA